AGCTCAAGGCTAGCACTCTACCACTTGAGCCACAGCGCCACTTCCGGCTTTTTTCTTTTTGCTTATGTGGTGCTGAGGAATGGAACCCAGGGCCTCTGGCATGCAAGGCAAGTGCTCTACCACTGAGCCACCTTCCCAGCCCTAGTTAGGAGTTCCTGAATAATAGTGTTTTTTTGTTTATATTCCCATTACCTTGTTTACACAAATGCAATAAAGTATTCACATACTTATGAATGAATAAGAGATTCAGAGAAGTTAGCATTTTTTTTTGAGTTGTACATTTTGCTTTAGGAGGAAAAGGGATAAAATAGAATGTATGTAGAAAGCTTTCAGTGTATTTAAAAGGAGCATGTTGGTTGATAGGTGGCTCATAAAAATTGTTTTATTATGCATTAGCCACAGTGTGGAAGTGGAATTCATATGTGTGGTTCAGGAAAAGAGTGATTGCTTAAAATGGAGTGGGATATGATCCACGGAATGAGTTGGAGGACTTAATTCTAAAATGCATATACAAATATCTCATGAAAGATAGTTAAATGAATCCTTACCTAGACTAGTTCTGGTGTAGTAGGTTTCAAATAATATGTGTTGGAGGTTTGCATCATGGGAGTACTGATATGAATAATATATTTTCAGCTAATGCAGAAGAATGCTGAAATATCCCTTGTGTCTCTCAAAGATGGGCACATAATATTTGATTACTTGAAGTCAGAGTATGACAGTCTGACTTATCTATTTCAAAAGATGAACTTTTGAGGGAATTATATAGATTTGTTTCCTATTTCAGAATATTCAGTGAACAGACTTTTTTTGGTTTATTTTTACTCTGGTTTCCTCCAGAAAATACTTAAAGTCTTTTATTGTCTCCAAACTAGGCATTAAACTAGATACTTGCCTGTCTGTCCTATAGTGTATTTGCCATGGACTGAAATGGTTGAGGCTCTAGATGTTTCTGTTTTCCTTTTGTTGGTCTGTTTTAGCTTAATGAATTTAGTATTTCCATGATTAAACAAAAAGAGTAAGAATGTTTAAATACTTTGTACATGCCAGGAATGTGACAAATTATTTGCTGATGTTCTTACATAACTCATACAACGTTGTAAGGGGATTTTCATTGTACATTGAGGAAACAAACCTAGAGAGCATTTAAGGAGAAAATGGAAAGTAGGATAGAGCAAAGGAATGAAGAAAAGGAAGAGAGCAATATTGAGAACTTTCTTGAAGGGAGCAGAACAAGTAAATAGGAAGATTGTAAAAATAGAGACAAAGCAAAATGAACTTTACAGAGTTACATACATAATAATCTCTATTGGAGATTATTATGTATATATGATATCAGGGATCCTGATTTGAAGCCATCTTCCTTTCAGAAATGTTGGAACAAAACAGTTGTATGTTTGAAGTTACTTTTGTATCTGAAGGTGGACATATTACTGGAAAACATGTATTTTTGTAGAGTTCTAGTTATTAATAAGAATCTTAAAATATTTGTTTCTATATGAGCTCTTGCAGCTAACAGGAGCTCCTTAGGATATTTGCTTGTTACAAAAAAGATATATTTGTTGTATAAATTTTCTTACAAGTACATTTATGTCTTTTTTCTCTCTAGTTTCTTCACAAAATAATTGACGGCATCTGTGGCCGAGCTTATCCGCTTTACCAGGATTATCACAGCATCTGGAATTCAGCAGAATGGACACTTGTTCTAGAAGATGTTACCAAGTTTTTCAAAGTTGTAGTTGGTAAAAGTTTATCTGATGAAGAGGTAAATTCACTCCAAATGTTTATACCTAATAATAATACCTAGACTTTTTAAAAGTTAGGCTTTAGGTACTCTTAAATACAAAGGACATCATCATCATCATGAAGTACTATGTATATATTACATAACAACTAAAACTTTTTAATTGTGAGTGGAAAATGTTCCTGTGAAATTATTTTTTCCCAGGATTATTTTTTGTTGTTGTTCTCATGCTAGAGCTTGAACTTGGGGTCTAGTGTTGTCCCTTAGTACCCCCACAACTCTTCTCCCACCCCACCTCACCCACTTACCCGGCTTGTGCTCTTCCACTTGAGCCACAGTTCCATTTCCAGCACTAGTTGGAGATTGCATAGACTTTCCTGCCCAGACTGGCTTCGAGCCTCCGTCAACAAAGTTCAGCCTCCTGAATAGGATTATAGCTTGAGCCACAGCTCCCCGGTGACTCTTTAAAGCATATAGGAAGTTATATAACTAATATGCATTAGTTATATACTAATATCTATATTTCCATTACCATGATTAAACATTTTTTAACATTTATTTTATTATAAAGGTTATGTACAGGGGGGTTATGGTTACATAAGTCATGTACATGAGTACATTTTTCAATAGCATCACCTCTTCTCTCCTTTTCTCTCAAATTTTATTTCTTGACCTGCCCGCCGCCCCCCACCAAGTTGTATATTGCATTTCAACATAATGTCAAGTATCACTGCTGCATTTATTCATCCATCATTTCTGTGCCCCCCTTGGCCTCCCCAAAATAGATAAACTTACATATAAGACAAAAGGTACAGAAAACAAAACCAGTGACAAAGGAGAAAATAAAAAAGGACAAAAAGCAAAATAACAAAAAAACCTTGTTTCCATTTCTTGGAGTTCATTTTGATAAATATCGTTTTATATGATAATGTATACATAGCTATTGAGTCTTTTTTATTGTTGTTGTTGTGGGGCTTGAACTCCGGGCCTGAGCACTGTCCCTGAGCTCTTCAGCTCAAGAGGAGCGCTCTACCAATTGAGCCACAGTGCCACTTCTGGTTTTCTCATGGTTAATTGGAGATGAGTCACAGACTTTCATGCCCGGGGTGGCTTTGAACTGCAATCCTCAGATCTTAGTCTCCTGAGTAGCTAGGATTATAGGTGTGAGCCACTGGTGCCCAGCACTATTGAGCTTTGTGATCCTCTCCTAAGAATATCCTCCTTTGGTCTCAGTGGGTGAATGTCTAAAGTCCTGTATAATTTGTCATGTTCAAGTGATTAAACATTTGTTAACATTTTTTGTAAAAAAGTAAAAATACCTCCTGTGTGTTAGGCATGGTGGATATTGGGTTTCATTAATTTTTTCTGAACTAGGCTTGTGTTGTCAAAATAAATCTTACTTCGTCATGTAGTATAATCTTTTTTATGTATCTCTTAGTTTGATACATCAGTATTTTGTCTGAAATAGTTGCATCTGTAATTGAGTGTTCCTGGCCTGTGATTTTTCTTTTCTGTAATGTTTTCATCAAGGTATCAACTTTCATTCTGGCCTCAAAGAGTGAATTTGAGAAGTTTTTTCTTCTTTATCTGTTCTCTGAAATAAGTTAGACATTGTTTTTCTTTCTTTGTTTAGTATTGAGTTGCTTAATTTTTCAAATATTTGGACTTTATTTTCTGATTTAATTGCACAGTAATAAAAAAATAAGACCAGTATTTTTCAGTCCTTTGTAGTTTGATACATAGCTCAATGTATCCATTTTTTGGTGACTCTTCTATACACATGTAAAAATACCGTGTATCCTACAGGTGTTGAGTATTCTATATGTCAAATAGGGAAAGTAGATAGTGCTTTTAATTTCTTGTGTAACTTACTGTTTTTGTTACTGTAGGTTATTGGGAATTGTGTTAAGATCTCTAATGATGGACATAGACTTACCTATTTCTTGAGCTGCTGCATTTTGTTTTATGTATTTTTAAGGAACTTAGGCATGAAGTTATGGTTGTCAGGTGGTTCTGTTGAATGGCCTTTGGCCTCCTTTCTCTGTTTCTTATATACCTCTGACCTTAAGGGTGACCTTATGTGACATTGTATTATGCTCTTCAGGTGTGTTCATATGGCCTTGTCAGCCAGCCTTACCCACCTCTTTTTTTTTTTTAACTTTTGCAGAATTTTGTTAAAACCTTATTTGTGTTCAAGCCTTCTTTTCATAGTTATTGAACTACTTCTCTCTTTTTTTTTTGACTCATTTTAAAGGTGCATGAAAAGAGAGTGGAATTAAACTTTTATATTTTAAGCAAGATGCCCCTTTCAGTTACTTTCTAACCACTTATTTTTATAGGTCCTCCAGCAATTGAATCCGTTAAATTCATTTCATCAAGAAGCTATTATGAAATGCTTGAGAAGTAGGAAAGATGAAATCAAGCAGGCTTTATTAGGAGAAATAGTTGACATTTCGTCTGCTCAGCTACAGGATTTTGATTGGCAGTTAAAGGTGAGAACCTGTTTAATAGCGTATATATTTTTGAATTATATATAAAGTATTTTTATGACATGTACCTAAGATTTCTGTTATTTTGAGAATGTACTATTCCAGAGAAATCTCAAAGATCATTTAAAAGGCATGTTTTTTATTCATTTGGGAATAGGAAAGTGACAGACTCAAACCATATATAAAAACATTGCATTGATAATAAGTTTAACTAGACCTGTAAGTCATAATGGTGGTAGAATTTGATTCTGACAAGTATCTTTGGCTAGGGCTTTCTATATTCCTAGCTTTCTCAAGATTGCTAAATTAGATACTACTTCGATGAGGAAAAATCTATGTGTTATTAAAACAGCAGTTTTCAAAACATTTGAAAAGAAGGTCATGATTATTAGGGCTAATCAAGAGCAACTCTTCTCTAGCTTTTCATCCTTTAAAGAATACCTAAGCTAGAAGATTAGGAAAAAAGAAATACTTTACATTTCCTGATTTGTGTTTTGGATATAATGCCTCATATAATCTTTGTGGATTAAGTGGAGAAAAAGTTGGGAAAAGAGCAGTTACATGGTTCATAACTGGACAAATAACCATACAAAGACAGATGAATTTATGTTAGCCATGGTCTCTGGTTCTTATCTTGGCCAGTTCTTCTTTAACCTTTTTATGAATATTATGCTTATCAAAGCTAAAGGTGAAACAAAACTAGAGATATTATCATTGGGTATTGGTAGCTCATGCTTACTGCAGGAGACTGATATCTGAGGATCAAGGTTTAAAGAGAGTCATAGACAAGTCTGAGAAATTCTTATCTCCAGTTAACATACAAAAAGCTGGAAGTAGGGGCTAGGAAGTTGGCTCAGTGGTAGAGTGCTTTCCTCGTATGCATGAGCCCCTAGGTTCGATTCCTCAGCACCATATAAGCAGATAAAAGCAAGTGGCGCTGTGGCTCAAGTGGTAGGGCGCTAGCCTTGAGCTGAAGAGCTGAGGGACAGTGCCCAGTCCCAGAGTTCAGCCCTCACAACTGAACAACAACAACAACAAAAAAGCTGGAAGTAGACGTGTGGCTCAAGTAGAGTGAAAATGTCAAGCAAGAGTACAAGGCCATGTATCAACATCATAAAATAAAAGTTTTTATCTCATTATACTGGGGAACCAAATGAAGCAAAGAAATTATTGATAATGTAGAGGATTTTTTATTGAAGTAAATATGTTTTTGTAAGTATACAAGTAGAAGAGAGACACTATTTGTGAACTATTTAGTTAAGACACATTTAAACAAATTAGAACCCAAATGGAAAAGAATGACCAGGAATTTAGTCATGAAATTTCTTTGAAAAATATGAGTTCATGTCTCTGGAAAAGGTAAAACTTAGTAGAACTATGACAGTTATGATTGAACTTATTTGGATACGAAATAGATTTTTGTTCAATTACTCCAGAGACTTAAGACAAGGGTTAAGGTATATACTTTATAATTATATGGGTAACAGTTATGGTTTTAAACTGTTCTTGAAGTAATGTACTCCTTGGTGGAATTCAAGCATAGGCTGAGAAACCACTTAACAGAAATATTGGAGAATCACCCATAAGATAGACCAGTTTGGAGACAGTACTCTCAAATCTCAAACATTATAAGTCCTGTTTTGGGTTGAAAGGAGGAAGAAATGTAGAGAAGGATTTGGTTCTGTTGTGCTACAGGGAGATCCTTTGGTTACTTGTTAGGGAATGTGTCTTTTCCATTACACAACAAGTTCTTTTAAGAAGTAGCACTCTGGGCTGGGAAGGTGGCTCAGTGGTAGAGCGCTTGCCTTGCATGCCTGAGGCCCTGGGTTCCATTCCTCAGCACCACATAAGCAAAAAGAAGAAAGCTGGAAGTGGCGCTGTGGCTCAAGTGGTAGAGCGCTAGCCTTGAGCTGAAGGGCTGAGTGACAGTGCCCAGGCCCAGAGTTCAGGCTCCACTACTGGACCCCTCCTGCCCCCCCCCCAAAAAAAAAAGAAGTAGCACGCCAAACAAAGGTGTGGGAAAAATCAGCTCTTCTTTGTCATCTATAAGCTATAGAGCTTTTCTTTTTTTCTAAAAAAAGTGTTAGTACTATAAATATTAGATTCTTTCAGTTCTTCCAGATTCTTTCAGTTCTCCATTCTGTGCTGACAGAGCTAAGAAATGAGGTAGCTGTGTTTTGTTTTTTTAAATTAAGGATGGTATCTTGATAATATATTTATTAATAGTTTAGTTGATAGTGAATTAAATATCTTAATTTCTAAGAGTTTACCAATATTTTTAGTCATCTTTATACCCAAACTATCTTTCACATTCCTTAATTCAGTTTCTTGATGTCTTGGACCCCCCTGTTCAGTACTTCCCAGAGTTTTATCGTTTTAAAAAATTATTATAATCTTAAAAAGAGTATCTTTTGTAACTGGACTGATTCAGGTTTTTATGTTTGCTTCTGCCATGAAACTTCTGGCTTCTTTTTTCTTATCTCCTTTCTGTCTTGTATTCACTTCCCTTTCTGTTCCTACCATTTGAACATGTGTTGTTTTGATACTGGTTTATTTTTTCTGCTTTTCTCAGTGTTTGACAGGGAAACATTACTTATTAAGAAATGTACTGTTACTAAGCACCAATGCATATTTAATATGTTTTATTTACTAAGTATTATTTTTAAAATTTCAAACAGCTTGCACTTTCTAGTGACAAGATTGCTACTTTACAAATGCCACTTTTAAGCCTTCATCTAGATGTTAAAGAAAATGGTGAAGTGAAACCATATTCTGTTGAAATGAGTAAGGAAGAGCTCCAAAATCTAATCACTTCCTTGGAAGCAGCTAATAAGGTATTTGTTTTTATTTTCATATATATATAATATATGATATATATATATATATATATGGTTTTTTTTTTTTTTTGTCGGTTGTGGGGCTTGAACTCTGGGCTTGGGTGCTATCCCTGCACTCTTCAGCTCAAGGCGAGTGCTCTACCACTTGAACCACAGCGTCATTTCTGGTTTCCTAGTGGTTTATTGGCGATAAGAGTCTCATCTACTTTTCTGCCCAGGCTGGCTTTGAACAGTGATCCTCAAAGTTTAGCCTCTTGAGTTAATTAGGATTATAGGTGTGAGTCACCGGTGCCTGGCTCTTATATGATTTTAATGTCTTAATTTTTGATTAATACCTTCAGGACAATAAAAGAAATGCATATAAATTCCCTTCTAATATTTTAATTTCTTTGATACTTTATGTCAAGCACAGAAAAATACTTCATTGATAGTTTTTGATACTGAATTTTAATATCTATTGTTCAGTTACTTGGTTTGGGATATAATTTATAAGGTAGTCATTTTCAAAAGAATAATCATTGTATTCTAATAATAATTTATTAATAATAAAAATAGGGGTTGGAGTCATAGCTCAGTTGGTAGAGCACTAGCCACTGAGTGAAAAAGCATCAGATATTGAGTTCAAGTTCTGGTCTCAGATCTAATAAAAATATATATATTTGAACTTTAGGATCATGAAATTAGTAGATTCCAAATAGTTTTTCTGAGTTAAAATAAAGTTCTTATTCTGGAAAAAGGATGTCTTTCTGAATGGACAAGAACTAAAGTTTGGATAAGTTGGACAAAGTTTGCTTTTATAATGTTCTAAATATAGGCAATAAAATATGACTCTAGTTCTGACACAATTAGATGAAGACAAGCTAGAACTGATGGATGTTTAAAACCTTCACAGTTACAAGGCAGTGGGTAAATAACAGTAATTATTTGTAGTGTTTAGTAAATTTGAAAAGTAATTTTTAAACAGTAAAAACTGTTACTGTGAGAGTGAAATAAGAATAATTATCTTAGCCAGGTGCCAGTGGCTTATGCCTGTAATCCTAGCTACTCTGAGCTGACATCTGAGGATCGTGGTTCAAACAGAATGGGCTGAAAAGTCCTCGTGAGGCTCTTCAATTAACCAGTCAAAAACTAGAAGTGGGGCTCTGGGTTAGAGTTGTAGAGAGCTAGCCTTGAGCAAAAGAGCTCAGGGACAGTGCCCAAGCCCCACAACCTGCAAAAAAAAAAAGCATGTGTGTGTGTATCTTTTTTATGTATTTTTTTAGCATTTTGTCAGTAATCTAATTATCAGCGACTACATTTCAGATACTCTTTTTTTTTTTTGTCTGTTGTAGGGCTTGAGCTCTGGGCCTGTGCACTATCCCTGAGCTCTTCAGCTCAAGGCTAGCGCTCTACCACTTGAGCCATAGCTCCACTTTCGTTTTTCTGGTGGTTAATTGGAGATAAGAGTCGCACGGACTTTCTTGCCCTGCTGGCTTTGAACTCAATCTTCAGATCTTAACCTCCTGAGTAGCTAGGATTACCGGCGTAAGCCACTGACACCTGGCTTAGATTTCAGATATTCTTAACTGTCTCCCTGGCCACTGTCAGTCTTCTCAATTCTACATTCTAAAAAACGCTGATAAACATTAGCTTCTTCCCATACCCTGAAGTCACTCACACATTTTGATGCCTTAATGGTTGGTCTGAATGCCAGGTAGCTCGAGCCTGGCTTCCCTTCAGATGGGAAGTGGATGTGGTAGACCCTGGTATGATGCTGAATAACCTGAGACACAGATCTTGCTGGGTAAATGCCAGCACTTACCGTGATTGTTACTCATCTTCCTTCAGAGATTTTTTTTTTTTAAAAACATTTCATTTAGCATATTGGGCCACCATTCTGGTCTAATCTAATATCTGTCTTCCTCTAATTTGTGTTTTAAGGTGGTCCTGCAGTTGAAATAGCTGGAAATTATGGATAACAACATGCTTAGATGTTACTGCTACCTGGGATAAGGCAGAGTGAAGACTGTGTTCAAACACCCTGCTGTGGTTGAATGCTCTGAGGCTGAGAGAGCAGCAGTGCTGATGCGACAAAGATAAAAATCTATCACTGTCCTTAAAGAACAGAGATTATATGGTTGATAGGAATGCAAAAAATACAAGATGAAAAGCTATGTAATAGTTTATATTTTCTTAATGATTGTTTTATCTTCATTTATTAAATATGTGGGAAATCTTCACAACAGTCTAATTGAAAGCTAAAAATAGGTTCTAAAGTAATGTCAACATAGAAAGCACAAACATACTTGAATGTTGCTTATATCATTATGCAAATATTAGAGACACGTGTTATGATATATAATTAATTTGTGATATTTAAAGTAACTTTTTTAAAGAAGGTATAAGCTACATTTATAACTCAGGAGATTCTGTATCTTTTCTCATATTTCAAGAAAAGATTGTAAAGTGTAAAATTTTGTAGAGAACTGATAGACATTAACAAGGAAAAAAATTCTGAATTTGTGTGAAATGGGAAAATGAAAACGACATTGTTCTCTCTGCCAGTTGTGTGTCTGACTGGGAGACTACTCTGATGTAAAGATAGATGCCATTGTACAGTGTGTATGTTTTTACTCAAGTGTCAGGATTTTGCAGGATCATTTTTGTTGTAAATTAATATTGAGTCTTTTAAATGTTAATAGATTCATTGAAAAACAATTTTTAACCTTAGCTAACACTAAGAATAGTCTTTTAAATGTTAATAGATTCATTGAAAAACAATTTTTAACCTTAGCTAACACTAAGAATAAACATTCTGAACAAATAAAAATAACATGTTTTATTTTTATGATTGATTTATTTCAAATGACTTTTCATTTAATTCATTAATAATGCATAAATAAGCAAAACCTTCCAAGTGTAAGCTTTATAACTCATTTAAAGCTTGAGCCTGTTCCTTGAGATGTCTAGAGCAGTTACTGCTGTTCTCATCATACAGGTGAGAGTAGTCTGAGACTGAATAAATATCTGAGTGTGATCCAGACAGTGCTATGCACAAGGTGTCTGTACAATACTGCTGGTTTATGACCTATTCGTTATAGGTTGGAAATTAGAAAAGGAGCTCAGGCCAGAATATTTTTCAGTGTACAGTTTTCTTCATGAAGAGATTTTGGTAATGAAAAGTTTATCAGCTGAAGTAAACAGCATGCTTAGTGTGGCTTTTGATTCTTAAATAAATTCCTTGGGTCATAATGGACCAGTAACACTTTGCAAATTGGTCCTTTGAATAACACTGATCTAGAAATCTCATCTCAATTTAAGTCTTCTGTCCTGAATCTTTACAGGAAACATACCCTGTTCTTGTATCATTCAGTTAGCTGCATCAGCTGTATTAGGATCTAATTGGCATACTTATTTACAGAGTGTAGTCTGATAAGTTTTGATGTACAGATATTTGTGGAAATATCATCACTAAAATAGTTACTTCTGGAAATTTTTTCCTGCTCCTCTGTAGCCTTTGTCTTTCCCCCTTACCCCTCAGGTAACCATTTATAACCTTCCACTCACCATAGCTTACTCACCACAGTCACTTATCAAGACTATTTCTTTCTTCATTTTTTATTTTGTTTGTGCTGGGGGATTGCACCTAGGTCTTCTGCACACTGACTCCACCATTAAAAAAAAAGTCTAGAATCTTTAAGGGTCCTTTTGAGTTTTAACAACGTGTTAAGAATTTATTTCTTCTTATTGTTAAGAATTATTCTATGCTAGAGTTAAGCTACAGTTTAACCTAGTGATATTTTGGCTGTTGCAAGTTTTTGGTTATTACAGTATACAGAATGGAACGTGTGTGTATACATCTTTGAGCGTTCACTGACTTTGGAGAAAGTACTTCAGAATGAAATATTGGGGTCATGGTAGGTTAGTATTTATTTTCTCAAGAAAATGTCAAATTTGCAGTGATTTTTATTACTTTGTATTCCCACTATAAGATGAGAATTTTTATTCCACCTTGTCAAACCCTGGTATGACCAATCTTTCTGATTTCCACTATTTTAACATATGTGTAGTAGTGGTTCACTGTGGTTTTAATATTCATTTCTTTAATGGCTAACAATATCTTTTTTTTTTGGATCCAGTTGTGGGGCCTGAACTCTGGGCCTGGGCGTTGTCCCTCAGCTCTTCAGCTCAAGGCTAGCGCTCTACCACTTGAGCCACAGCGCCACTTCTGGCTTTTTTCTTATGTGGTGCTGAGGAATCGAACCCAGGGCCTCAAGCATGCAAGGCAAGTGCTCTACCACTGACCCACCTTCCCAGCCCCTAACAATATCTTTTAACACACATCTTTGCATCTCTACACTTCAGTGAAATTTCTGCTCTGAGCTGGTGCCCATTTTTAATTGGGTTCTTCATTAACTTAATAGTCTTGGGTTTTGGGAGTTGGTTATATATCCTAATACAAGACCTTTAGATACTACAATCCTTGTAGAGATGCCAGTCTATGAATTGTCTATTCTTTTTTCTCCTGTAAATTAGCCTAATTTTAAAAACCTTTCAGATTTATTCAGAGTTTTAGATACGCTTATTGCTTTGGCTAGCATTGAACTTCAGTCCTCCTGATTCTACTTTTTGAGTAGCTAGGATTACAAGTATGAAACACCAATAACACCAATGCCCAATGCCCCATGTTATATCTTTTTTTTTTCTTTCTTTCTTTTTTTTTTAGGCTTGAACTCAGGGCCTACTGTTTCTTAGCCTTTTGTTCAAGGCTGGTGCTCTACCACCTGAGCCACTGCTTTACTCACTTTTTGTTGGTTAATTAGAGATACGAGTCTCTTGTACTTTTATTCCTGGGCTGGCTTTAAACAATCCTCCCACCTAAGCCTCCTGAGTAGCTAAGAGTATAGGCCTGAGATACTGGGCCCATATATATGTTTTGAAGTTAGGAAGTGTGGGACATCCACCTTCGTTTTTTCTTTATTGACTGTTATGGTTCACTTATGGTACTGTAACAATTTTTTTTAATTGTATAGTTTTTTTTTTTCTCAAAATGAATGTTATAAGGATTTTGGTAGAGGATACGCTGAGTTTATTGATCAGGTGGCATACTTATTCCAACAATCAGAAGTCTCCAATCTCTGTGCAGGTGCTGTCTTCCATTTGTGTTTTCTTTCATTTTTTTTTTTTTTAAGCCACAGTTTATAATCTCACTAAAGGGTTTTTTTTTCTTATTTCCTTGCTTAAGTTTATTTGTAGTGTTTTCTTTCTAATTGCTATTCTAAATAAGATTGTGTTTGTGTTTTTAAATTTCCTTTTCAAAATAGTTTATTGTTAACATACACAAACACAGCTGGGTTTTTTTAAAAGTGGATTTTGTATTTGGCAACTTAACTGATATTTTCACTTCTTTGTTCTGTCAATGTGTTAGAACATATTAGTTGATTTTCTCAGGGATAAATCCCATGTGGTTATAGAGTACAATTCTTTTAATATTCTGTTGAATTTGACTTGTTAATGTTTGTTGAGATTATTAGTATCTTTATTTGTTAAGGGTGTTGGCTTGCAGTTTTCTGGTCATTTCATTACCTGGTTTTGGTAACAGAGTAACGTTGGCCAAATAAAGTAAGTTTGGAAATATTCCTTCCTCTTAATTTTTTTAGAAGAGCTTAATTCGTCAAATATTTTGAGATTCTTCAGCTTAGCCATCTGGCTCCATTCTTTGTTGGTAGATTTTTGATTGCTGACTCATTCTCCCTATATTTGTGTAGACTTTCATATTTCTCCATGATTCAGCCTTGGTAGTTAGTGATTTTCTAAGAATTTAAATAGTTTCTTTGGGTTTTTCAAGTTGTTGCTATATTATAATTGTTTATAATAGTCTCTAGCATTATCAGAATCTTCTCAGCTTTGCTGTTATTTTCAAAATTTTTATTTTAAAAAATATTCTATTTCAATCATTTCCAATCTTTATTATTTCTTTACTTTTGTTAATTTTGCTTAGTTTTTTTGTTTTCCTACTGTTGTCATAGGATATAAGGTTATTTATTGTGAGGTCTTTAAACATTGTGAGTGTGTTCAGTGCTATAAAATTCAGTGTATACTTGCTTTATCACTAGGTTTTTCTATATTGTCATTTTCACTTGTCTCAAGGTATTTTCTAATTTCCCTTTTGATTTTTTTCAACTCATTTTTTGGAGAGTAGCTTGCTTAATTTTTACATTTTGATGAAATTTCCAGTTTACTTGTGCCATCGATTTCTAGTTTCTTTTCCATTGTGATCTGAAGAGAGACTTGCTATAGATTTAGTCTTTCTAAGTTGGTTAAGGATTTTTTCGTGACCTAACATGTAATCTTCTGGAGAATGTTCCAAGTGTTGATGAGGAAAATGTATTCTAAAAATTTATATTTTCAAGCCCCACGACCGACCAAAAAAAATTATATTTACCTATACAATGTTGCATACATAGCTTTAGTGTCCATTTGGCCTATGGGAGTGTTCATATTGTCTGCATGTTATATCTGTTATTGAAAGTGGAGGTACCGGAATCTATCAATATTGGCTTGCTATTTCTCTTTTCATTTTTGTCAATATTTATATATTTGTGTACTTACGTTAAGTGCACATAAATTTATAATTGCTGTATCTTCTTGGGGACCTTTTTATCATTATACCCATGTATACCTGTTTATATGTTATCTCAACCTACGTATATGTTCCTACTTAGAGGCATTTGTGGGTTTATCACAAGTCCAAAATCTCTTGTTCCCTCTGGTGTGTATCTATGGTACTACAGGTTCTCTGGTGCTGCTGCAAATCTCATTCTCTTGTTAGCAGCTGCCCCAAACTTACCTGTTTGAAGATTTTTTAGAATCGTAAAAGACATGATACAGTAGTCAGAGGTGAAATCTCTTGGGTTCTAGTGACAGCACAGATGCATGCCTACACAGCCTGTGATGTATGCCCTCACATGGCTCTGGCTCTGCACTTTCTCACTTTATAATCCTTGTGAATGTGTAGATATGGTAGTTCTCCTTAATTTTATTTATTTAATTGGTCTTGTTTGAACTTTATGTTTCCTCTGAGGCCAAGAAGATTCATTGATACTAGTAACCTGGCCTTTTCCCGTTGCCCTTAACAATGTGTGGTACTGGGGTCCTTAGTGCTTTACTGTTTGGGCCATGTATCTGCTTCTTGCTTTTTTCGTTGGTTAATTTGAGGTAAGAGTCATAGACTTTCTTGATGGGCTGGCTTTTATCCTCAGATCTCAGACTCCTGAATAGCTAGGATTACAGGTGAAATCCACTGAGTACTTAGTCATGATTCTTAACTACTTGCTGAATTAAGCCACACTTTTTTTTGTTTGTTTAGGAAAATATTAGATGTTTAACATGTATGTTAAGTGTCTTCTATAACAAATCCTAAGTGGAATACATAAATATTCCTTTCTAATTTAAATAAAACTAGATGGCCATTTAGTTCTCCCATTGCATAACATACTGCTCTGGAAATATTTTATGAGCTCAGCTCATAAAATGGTGATTTGCAGTTATTTTGTTAGATGATTATTAAATTTGTGTCTGCTGAAATTTGGGATTCTATTGGAACTCTGTTCTAATAACCATCAAGTAATGGATCAGTGAACTCTTCAGTGTGTTCATTATTTTATTAACACATTCTTTTTGGAGGGAGAGAGTTTGGAAGTTGGAGGGCTTAATGTGAG